AGGGATGCTCCAGTGTAGCTCATTCTTGCTTTTTGAAGGATGGTCTGTATTTTCACATGATTCCATCATCTCCCCACTGCAGGTTCCAGAAAAAAGAACTCCTTAGAGTGTCATAGGCATGAAGGCAAATACCATAAGTGTATTGCAGAGTGATTCATATTTCTGCTGCAGCCTGGCAGAGCTGAGGCAGCTCCATCCTGACAGTTTGTCTTTGGCTCTCTGCAGGCCCTGAGTGATGTGTGAGGCCGAGATGCTGCTTCCTTCCTTCAAGCTGGACTCCGAGATCATCAGTGATGTGGCTGGGATCTTCTCAGCAGACTGCAGATTTGCTCTCCACTGTGTGGGATTGTTTAACCCTTGGCCAGCCAACATTCCCTCTGATGTGTTAAAGATGATGGGGCATAAGCCAGATAAGACTATTGAAAAGGTCCAGTGACTTATTGCGTGAGGTCAAAACTGTTCTTTCCAGTGCTGGAAATGTAAGATGTCTTTTTCCTTTCTCTCCTCCCTGCACCCATTCTAAATTCTCCCAACCACACCCCACACCCCCCCCAACTGACATGATGTATTTATAACTGACACATATTTCTGTCTGGTGGTCTGGGAAGAGTTCAAAGGGTCCCTGACTCAGCCTTAAGCACAGAGAGAGAGAAAGAGAGAGAGAGAGAGCTTTGTGCACAGTTAGCTCACTCTCTCCTCATGGGAGCTTCCTGCTGCTGACACATTTAGACTGGTAACAGGTCTGAGCCTTTGTGTCCCACTGCCCTGCTGTGACTCCTGCACTGCCCTGCAGCACAGCTGGAGAAGTCACAGTGCAAACTGTTGCCATTCACAATAGGTCTCCCTCCAACCCTGATGGAGTTGCAGTATTAAACACCAGCCAGGCAGGCTGGCAGCAGTCTTGTGGCTTCTTTTTTGGTTGTTAATTTTTAAAATTGATCAGAAACAGAAGTGCTGAGGTGCCAACAGGCTGACTCCTGTTCTTACCTCTTGCCCTCAGAGAGGTTCCAAAGAATGTTTATCAATATGGTGACAGGTGCTTTATATATATCTAGATCTATAGATACATAAATATATATCTATAGATATTTAGATATATAAAAAACAAACCTTAGCTCCATTGCCTGATGTTCAGTACTGATGCTGGGGAGTCAGTTGTGCTGACAAATCTCTCATCTCAGTCATGTTGAGATGCCTCAGGCCTGGGTATTTGCAAGTCCTTAGGAGGCATCATTATTTCCAATGCTGCCCCCCAGATGCATAATTTGTTTTTCACTGTACTCTGTAAGATGGATCTGCCTTCACTTCTTTACTTCTGTTCTGAAGATTCCGTGGTGTGGGAATCACTCTCCCAGCACAGCCACTGTGCCACTGTCACTCCCTGCACTCAATTAAACACTCGGCTCTGGTTAAGGTGACATCAGTGTGGGTCAGTGTTCTCTGGGGAGAGAGTTGGGGGGAAAACCAGAGATCCTGAAGGTTTGCTGTGCTTCCAGGTGCACTCTCTAGTCGGTCTGACTTCCTCTCTTATGTTTAGGGATGATGAGTTATCATCAAAATGAAGTGCTGCAGTGCGATCCCATTGCATGTTTTGTGTTGTGGTGTAGCTGCCCAATAACTCCTCTCATCCTCTGTGCTGCAGACTCAGTACCTGCTATCCAAGCTGTTCTCCAGTCCAAATGCTGCCTCTGTCACAGTTTTCCAAGTGCTTTTCCAGCTGCCCATCTCCCTTCTGCTATCAGGTAGCTCCTCTCAGCCCTGGCCCCATGGAGCTGCACCTTCTTTTCCACTGCAGCAATGGTGGTGCCTCGGGGGCTCTGAGGGCTGAATCACTGATTCAGGCTGGGGAAAGGCATTAGGTGACATTAAGAAAAGACAAAAATGCTCCTTCTGAGAAGCTTTTTGGCTTGGTAAGAGAGAACTAGAAGAAGCAGACTTCAGCAGGGGTTGGGGTTGAGCTTTGCCATAATAAGTGACCCTACAAACAGTACAGGTGCTCCAGCCACTGTGTGCCCACAGCAAAGGATTTGTGGGGTCAGTACTCTCCTGCTTTCTCCTGTTTCTGATGAGACCTGGCACTTCTTTCCTTCTGCCACCTGTATTGGTACAGTTTCTTTGTGGTCCCAAGCACTGCTGAGCTGCAGAGCTGAGTCTAGATCTCTGTATTCTGGTGTTGAGAAGATAACACCTATTCTTCTCTTAATTGTCTGGGTGACTGTCTTCTTTCTCACACAATTAGTTTGGGTTAACGAGGCAGTTTCATTGCTCCATTCTTGTATTTTTATAAGGAGCAGACCAGTAATGGAGGCTGGTTCTAGCTCCTCCTGTTGAAATTCCTGTGGGTCCTGAACCTCACTCAGCCTTTCATTCTTGACAGAAAATGAGCTCAGTCACTTTCCCCTAGAATGGGAATCAAGACCAGGACTATGGTCTGGGAAGGCCTTAGAGCAGCAGCCAGCCAGTAACAAGTTCAAGCCTTTCACCCATCCTTGGTGAGTACAACAATGCCCAGGAGGGAAAAAGCTTCCTCAAACCTGTTGTTGGCCTCCACACAACTAATTATTCCTTCTGGTTCTTTGAGCTCTCTCCAAATACGTGAGTTCAGCGAGTGGCCAGTGATGAGAGCAGAAGACAAGACTGTTTCTCATCCAAGTCACACATACTCTGTCCACAAAGCCCTATAAATCTAGTTTCTGAGTGATTCCAGTTCACTGTTCCCCACAGAGAGTTCCAAACACTTCAGTGCCTTCAATGTGAGAAGACAGAGCTCAGTGCCTGAATCAACACTCATTAAATGAATGCAGCAAGAGAGGGAGCAGGGCCTTGTGCAGCTGTGGCTGGTTCCACCTGAGCAGCTCTGAGCTTCAGGACATAAAAATCACCCCTGTGCTGAGCACTGCCACAGCTCTATGTGCCCTGGGAGCTGCTGGGATGGTGTTTGGCACCTGCAAGGTGGTTGTGTCTACAGATCCATCATCCCTTCCACAAATTTGTGTCTGAGCTGTTATGCTGCAGGATGTGGTGGCCAAGGGACGCTGGGGGTTGAGGAGACACTGGAAATTTGGGTAATGCTCAACAGGAGGAAACTGTGGGGTCTCATGTAGAACTGAGCACTGACCACTTTTGCAGTGTCTCCGGGTGGGCAACTGAAATACCTTTTTCAGAGTTTTAGCTGCCATTTGCCTAAGGCTAGTTAAGCAAGACTTCATAAGCAAAGAGTCACAAAGGTGATGTTTGTCTAGACATGCTGCAGTCGTGTTCCAGCATCTAATCCAGCCAGGAGCATGTGAACAGGGATAGGCTTTGTCCCAGGTAGCGTAAAATGTCAGAGCAGGTGGAGACAAGCAAGGGAATGGAGGCTGATGGGCTTTTTAATCCATTGCTTAAGTTGCTTGGCACCTTTTGAACTGTGTCAGACTGCCCTGAGCTTTAGTCATTGAACTAACTCAGTTTTTAGAAATTCAGAAGAGTTTCAAAAAATTGAGAGAAACCTCTTGCCTGTATCTCTTGAGCCTTTTCAGTCAGTTAATTGGCCTGAGTGTCATATTGACCCAGAGCTGATGTTATTGAGGCCTGGCTGAATTATTGATGGAGCTTGGCTGGAACAAGAGGCTGCTAAAGAATGACATTCATCAGAACAGCAAGCAGTCAAATCAGTAAGCAAGCAGTCAAAAAGTATTAAAAAGTGCCACCAGGTTCACGTAGAGGAAAGTTCCTTTGCTAAAATGATGGGGGAAGAAGAGGGTTTTCCCTCAGATCTAGCAGAAGAGCCAGACAAAATGCTGTTACAAAGATGAGAAATCTAAAGTTAAATACTGAGAAGTCTGGGGAAATGCTCTTTCCTACTCATGTGTTGGATGGAGTTTATTCCTTCTAAAATATGTAAAAGATGGGGAACTGGAGCCACAGAACTGCAGTTATAGCACAGTGATGTGTGAAGCAGATAAAGATGGGGGTGTTTTACACATGGTAGGGATCTCAGTGCAGGCCTTTCAAGGACAGCAGCTCCTTGAACTGGTACTTAAGGGCTGCTGCAGCAACCCACAGCCAGGAAGGAATTCACTAAACAAAGCTAATTCTGTGTGAAGAGCAAGATATCATGTATATGATGCCTCTGCATGTGTTTTGCCTCCTTAAGCTGTAGGAGAGAAGTAACCAGAACCTCACAGGATCTGCAATTCCTGGTTAAGGCTCTCCCAGCCATGCAGGACCTCCTTTAGTGCTCCCAGTCTCACAGACCCATGTGTCAACACCCCTGGTGAGGTCTTGGGATTGCCACGAGGTGCAGTGCATAAGCAATCCCTCAGATAATCCAAATGGTAAAGGAATGTTTCTATCCAGCTCTTGTCCAGCCAATCTTGTCACCAATGGGACAATTCTGGTGTAACAGAGGTCATGAGTGTGTGGCAGTAGACAATAATACCAAACTGCACAGCCTGAAATGCCTCCTGCTTGGAGCCAGGCAAAATGTTTCAGTGTTTCCTATTCTTAAATAGGAGAGTTTAATAGTGAGTAGTTATTTCTGAGGAAGATTTTTGGTGGAATAATTGAAATGTTTTAACTGCATGCAGTCAAATAACAGAAGGCTTTGAGCATACAGGTGAAACTTTTTGCAGTCCCTTTGGGGCTGGCACACAGAGAAGGCTCCCCCTCCCCAGAGAGCTGTGACAGGCTTGTGGTTGTGAGAGCAGCATCCCCATGGTTCTTCCTCCCCTCCTCAAACCAAGACATCCTCCTCTTCCTCCTCCTCTTCCTCCTCCTCTTCCTCCTCCTCCTGGCAGCTGCTCTGAGCAGGGATGAGGCTCCTGCCATCTCTTCCCTGGGTTTGTTAGATTAGTGCCAATGAAAAGCCATGGCTTTTCATGAAACAGCCATCTGCACACTCCTCCAGGGCCCTGGGGAGAACAGTGCCAGGGAAAACTGCAAACCTGGCCTGTTTAATGAGCTCTCATTTCAAGCCTGTGAATGAATTGGTTTCCCCTTCCAGAAAGGCTCACAACTGTCAGCTAACTATTGCTTTATTTATTGCATTCACCTTTGTAACCTGAGGGAAGAGAACAAGTTTTCCAATGACAGGAAGGTATTTTAGCTTCCCTCTGCTGCAGGTGAGTGCCTTTACCTTTGGGAACCAGAAACTTCTGGAAGCTTGGTGTGATCTGCTGTGTGCTTCAAACATGGGTGACCTGAACCCAGACCAGGCAACAAAGAGCAAATATCCACGCCATAGAGGAGAGAAATTGAGAAATTATCTTGTTCTTTGATGTGGCATCTGGTGCCAGACACAGTGACAGCTCTTCTGTTCCTGCAGCCCAGTCTGTGCTGCTGCACAGACACACAGGCCTCTTCCTTGAATGACAAAACCTCTCCCACTGCATGTTGTATGTGCAGCTTTCGTCATAAGGAGCTGGAGTTCTCTCGAGTGATTGTGGAAGCATATTCTGCTGTGCTTCTGAACCCACTCTGCAGCTCTGCTGGAGCCATGCTGTCAGACAAAACCCTTGGAGAGGCAAGCTTTTTCCAGTTGTTGAATGCAGAAATCCCTCCTGGAGTGTGTTTCACTCAAGTTCCCATGGTTCTGGTCACAGCTGCACTGATTTCAGAGACATTTGAGTGCAGAAATCCACTCAGGCCACGTTCAGCTGAGGGCAGGAGAGGATCAAGGAACATGATTTCCAAAGGGGAAATCAGATAACAGAGAAGGTGCTAAGAGGAAAGAATAATCAGAAATGTTTATTGTTCCAAGGGAAGACTTTTACCATTTCCTGTACAGGATCATAAGCATTTAAGGGTCAGGAAAACAAAAATTAAAAATAAAATAAATAAATATATATATAAAATTTGAGGCCTTCTTAAAGGTCAGACAACTAATGCACATGGAATAGGAACAGTAGTAATAAAGAACAATCCTGGTGCTGTACATTCAATTCTATCTGATTACAAAAAAGAGCCAGTTTTATCACCAGAGAGTTATTTTACTCCCTTTGGAGAAGGAGATGGTGCTGTATCTGGTGCTGGGGAGATGGTCAGCAGCATCTGGACAAGAAGAATGGCTCTTTTCCACAGACCAACATAGGGGAAGCAGCAGGGGGTGAATGTGAGGAAAGGGAAGGGCACTAGAGAATGTGGAGGAATCTGGGAAAGAGGTGCCAAATATTGAGAGAAGCTGTAGCAGAACTCAGGGGGAACATATTTGGATTTAGAGATCCATTCCTGCTGTGGTCCACCTCGAGCTGCCCCTGAGACACTGGGGCACAGGGCTTTTCATCCCGTGGAAAAGATCCTTCCATCACCCATGGCCTAAAGTGGGATCCACTTCAAAAATTCTGTACATCCCAGGATTGTTCCCAGAAGCTGCCAATGGGTCTGGCTGGCCTTGCTTTCCCAGATGCCACCTCTCAGCTGCCCCTGAGGCAACAGGACACCAGCCTTTCCTTCCTGTGGAAAAGCAAAGTCCTTTGCAGCCAGGTGCCCCAAGATTCCTCATCTTAAAGCTGTGATGCTCTGAGGAGCAGCCCCGGGAGGCCAAGGGCAGCCAGGTTTGTATCACAGGGTGAGTGTGAACTCCAGACAAGCCCTGCCTTAGATTTAGGCAAGTCTACACTTCAGAAATCACACTGGCCTGCACTGAATGGAAGTTCAGGTCTACCTATAAAATTAAATATAAAAATAAAAAAAACCCCTTAAAATAAAAATTAATCATTAAAAATAAAACTAGTTATTAAACAGACAGGAGATAACAGATGAGAGATCTTAATCAGAGTTACTTTGTAGCCAGTACAAAATTAAAAAAAAATACTAGTAGATTAAAATAGTGCATGATATCAAGTTACCTATATTAAAGCTAGCAAAATAAATAGTGTTGATTAGAAATCAAATAGAACTTACCACCAAAATGAGGATAAAGTACATAGTTTTAACCTCTGTAGGAATAACCCCTAAGCTGGTGTTCCTACTCACAGGAGAAACTCCACACATTTCTAAGAGCCAAACCTCTTTTCCATTCACTTGCCAATGTAATGCTTCCCACTGACACCACTGTGTGGCACCAGACTGTGTGAAAATCAGCATACAGCATCCTTGCTTTCTGCTTTACTGCCAGCATACAGCTTCCAGCTCTCCCATCCCTGCATTTCCTATTCCTCCTTTGCTACTTCCACTCTTGTTTCAGTGCTAAGAGTGAAAGACACTTGCTGGGTTCCCTATATGTGACTAAATCTAAATTAACTACCAAAATGCTTTTAGTATCTTTTGCCCTACCACATAACAAAGGGAGCAAGGTTGAAAAACAGGATCTGTAGATTAACTAGGAACTAAAAAATATTCAGGAAAAATGCAACCAAATAGGTAATGACTTTGTAAGTAGAGAGGATAAATATTGCTTAAAATAAATAAGCAGCCAACAATAACCAACTTTCAAGGCTGAGAAGTAAACCATCTGGGATGATTAGTAAATAACACCAGAAAGAACCAGTTTTGTAGCTCAAAAGCAATTAACAGAGACTGAGCATGCACCAATTCAGAAAGTTCAATTAAAGGACAAATGATGACTATGGAATGGACTGTGTTCTTATGGAAGGACAGTAGATGGCAGCAAAGACCGTGAAATAGTTAATTCCTGTTCGTATAATCATTTTCTAAAATAGGCTGGTTTTATGTTATTGATTTCTTCCTCTGTGTAATGAATATGTAACAACCTTGTAAATATAAACTGTATTAATTCATCCAGTGGTTGGGAGCACTCACGGTGTGGCCCCAGCCCTGTAAATAAAGAATGCCTGCTTAACACTGATATTCCTTGCTGTTGAGTGAATTGCTTTGTTTCAAGAGCAACTGCTCTATACTTTCATATACATCAACATGCTTGGCTGAGGCACAGCAAGGCTGCTGAGGAGCTTGGAACACACTGTGGGTCACTGCTGGTTTTCAGGGGGTTCCTCCAGCCGGGTTGTTTCTGTTATGACATTGTGTATTGTCATGGTGATGTTGGAACCCAGGGTGTTGTGAGGCAGGGTTGGGACAGTCAGGTGTCTCCAGTCCCCACTGGGTGCTGAGCTGGAGGATCCCGAGCCCCTGATGAGGAGCCAACCCACCATGGTGACACTAGTGGTAGGTGCTGAGTGCTATGATATAATGGCCATGGTGGGGAAGGGGACCTTTGGACAGGTGATCCAGGGGCAGTGCAGGAGCACTGGGGAGATGGTGGCCATCAAGATCCTGAAGAACTGTGATCACAATGGCCAAATAGTGAAGAATGAACTGAGGCTGCTGCAGGCCTTGCGGGAGGGGGACACGAAGGACTCTCACATCATCCATTTCCTCGAGTCCTTCAGTGACACGGTCTGGACCTACCTGATCTTCGAGCTGCTGCAGCAAAACCTCTTTGACTTCCAAAAGCAGAATAACTTCTCACCGCTGCCAGTCCGACACATCCGTACCATCGCAGCACAGGTGCTGGTGGCACTGGTCAAGCTGAAGGAGCTCTCTATCATCCATGCTGACCTTAAGCCAGAGAACATCATGCTGGTGGACCATGCACGCTATCCATTTCGCATCAAGCTTGTTGACTTTGGCTCGGCTATCCTCCTCCCTGAGGTCTGCCATGTCCAGGAGCCCTACATCCAAACCCGCTTCTACCGGGCACCGGAGATCTTGCTGGGCTTACCCTTCTGTGAGAAGGTGGACATCTGGTCTTTGGGCTGTGTGATGGCCGAGCTTCACTTGGGTTGGCCGCTCTACCCTGGCAGTGATGAATATGAGCAGGTGTGCTACATCTGCTCCACCTTGGGGCTACCCCGAGGTGAGCTGCTCTGCGCTGCCCAGAAGACACGGTCCTTCTTCCAGCGTGTGCCATGTTCCACTGGTACCTGGCAGCTCAAACCACCAGGGAAGGTGATGGCAAAGCCCATGGAGAGGAGGGAGCATATCTTTTCCTCACTGGATCAGTTGGCAGTGGTGAACATCTGCCAGATGCCTGATCCTGACCAAGAGGAGCTGGCCAAGCGCTGTGATCTGTACAGGATGGTGGAGCTGGTCAAGAGGATGCTCACTTGGGACTCACGTGAGCGAATCACACCCAATGCTGCCCTTCATCATCCTTTCATCTCCATGCAGGAGGTGAAGGCCAGCTTTGAGGCCACCCGGTACTACCAGCTCAGTCAGGAAGACCTGAGGGCATCCTGTAAAGATTCCAGGATAGCTGAGATCTTCCCTAGCACAGAGAAAGGTGCTTTCATCCCTGCCAGCCAGGGAGGCATCCAGAAGGCCACTGCCCAGATGGATGGGCTGAGTCTGGCTGAGCCAGCTGGGGACACTGCTGACAAGCATCAGCAGAACATCTGCCAAGCCCCCAGCCCCACCCACTGTGGAAGCCAGTACTGTCAGCATCACTGGTGTCCCCAGATGGAGCCCACCGACCATCACTTGACTGTGCTGGCGTCTGCCAGTAAAATGAAACAGTGCAGCCATTGCAGTGGCAGCCCAGCTGTTGGTGGCACCATGGAACAGAACCTGCCCGGAAGATGCTGCAGCTCATCCTGTGCCAAGGTACAGGGAGGGGGCTCCTGGGCACGGGTACTCCAGGACAAAATGTGCTTGGGATCCCTTACATGCTTGGGTTTCCTGGTGCCACATGTCCCCAGGTGCCCGAGGTCCCCATAAAAAGGAGGTAACACTCACTCTCACCCCATGCTCTCCCCCCTGTTTCCCACCACAGAGATCTCTGGTGATGTGGCACGACCCCAAGCCTCCAAGGATTTGGAGAATGGGCTTCGGAGGCTGGGCTGGTCCACCCCTGCAGTACTCAGCAAGCTCCTCCTACTACAGAGCCAGTGGCACTCCCAGCACCACTGAGACCCCACAGCAACCCCTGCACACGCTCCAGCAGCCCAGAGCTTGCAAGAGACCTTCCTCTTCCTCACCCTCAGGCACCCCAACCGCCAAAACCCAGCGCCTTGCTGGTGGGGATCACAGCCAGGGCTGCAACAGAACATACTGTGCCAGATGCTACCGGCTCTGTTTCTCACACTGATCCCCCAATAAATAGTTTTGCCAAAAATGGAGCATTTCAACTGATTATTTGCCAAGGGAGTTTGGTACTGCCAAGGGCTGTCCCAGCTTCTCACCTGGGGACGGCACAACACTTGGCAAAGGCCTGGCACTTTCCACATTTGCAGCACGGAGAACCCCCCACCCCCAGGCTCAACAACATAAACTCCACAAAACTTGCATTTTCTGTTTTTTCCCCTGTAGCAGGGCATCTCACACCCCACAAAAACTTACCTGTAGCTTGTTACCTGGTCAGATAACTCAAACAGGACATGGTGCCTGTCAATAAACAGACTGTCATTAGACACCTTACTGCTGAAGTGAAATTTGACAAGATAAACTGGATTTCTAACTGAAAGATATCTCACTTCACAAACTATAAAAGCTACACCAAACTTTCACAAAGCAAAAATCTTCTGCACATTTTTCTGGAAATGTGTGTAGTTTCTCCCCAGAACAGGGATACCTGCTTTACTCCTCTGGAGGCTGAGTAAAAGAACACTGCATAAATTATCATCATCTCAGTAGTAAGATACATTTGACTCCTAATCAGTACTATTTCTTTTGCTATATAGCTACCTTGATATCATGCACTGTTCTATATAATCTACTAGTAGTTCCTTTAATTTACTGAGTAATAAGTAACTGATTAAAATATTTCATGTTATCTCCTGTCTGTTTAATTAATAATTCATTTTATAAACAGACCTAATGTGCTATCCTTAAAACTTGTAGGCCAGAGTAATTTCTTAAATTTCAGCTGTCAGGGCTTGCCTAAAGCTTCCACTCACCCTGTGACACTCCCCAAACTGGAGTGGGGCAGCAAGATTCAGCATATCCAGACCCAGAGGTTCCTCAAGGGTTTATTCTTTGGGCTCAAATGGAGCTGCAGAGGCTCTCCCAGCACTTGGCACTGCCTGCACAAACTACCTGTGGCTGCTGGCATGGTGTAGGCAGCAGCAGCTCCACTCAGCCTCAGCTTCACCACCAGCACCGAGCTTGCTGGCTGCACAAAGTAGTCCCAAGATCAGTTAGATGTCCCTGCAAGGAGATTTTTGGTGATTTGATTTTCCCTGAGATCTCTGTGTGCTCTTTCAATACAGGTTTACAAAGCCCCCACCTTTCTGCATCACAGGGGAGTGTTCATAAAGGAAGTCTTGAGTTAAACAAATTTTAAAAAACCCTGTCTGTTGTTTCTTGCATGGTCATTCTTCCTCTCTAGAGAACAATCAGAAGCACCACTTGTGACTGGGATGGTTGTATTGTTTCAATCGTAAATGTCAGGTTTAATGGTCAACATTCCTCTGAGTCTGCAGCCTTTGGTGGTCCCTGGGAGATTATTCTGGGAAGTGTGGTGACTGAACAGGTCGCTACAAAAGACATGAACTTGAAGGGGCTGGCAAAGAGTGAGGCAACTGTTGCAGTGTTGCGAGTGTTGCTACTTTTTAGTTCTCCTCTCTGGAATTCCTTCCCTTCATTCTTGAACCATCCTCCCCTGAGCTTCCCCCATCAGGAGGATCCTTCTCTCCCTGTGGGAGCAGCTGAGCAGGTTCCCAGGGCCATGTCCCAGCTGGTGGTGAGGGTGCCCTGCATTTCCTGGGAGGTGGAATGTCTGGCTGGCTTCTGTTCAGGTTCTCCCCCTCCTCAGTGTGTGTGGGCTTTCTCCACCTCCTTGATTTCTTGCAGTGTCCTCATGGCTTTCAGGCCTGTCATTTTCTGGAACACTTGATATGACATGCAGAAAACTGAAGCAGCACAAGGCTTTGAAAAATTGATCACGGTTTTCCAGCCATGTCTGTCCCTTTCAAGCAGTGACTCATCTTTATAGTCTCTCAGATGCCCATTTTGCCCCTTTTCACAGCTGGCCCTTCTCAGAGAGCACACATCTGGCAATTTATACAAGCCCGGTTTAGTGCCAGACAGCAAGGGAGAAAAAATGGCCTGTCAAACTGCAGGACAGACAGAACTTACAAACAGCCATTCTTTCCTATGACAAAACCCAAAACTCATCAGAGAAGAAAGCAACAGTAACGGGAGAGAGTATATTCTGAACATCCTTTCACACTCATTGCTTCCTGGCATAGAAAAGTAAATGTACTTTGGCAGAGAGATGTCTTAAGGCATCATTCATCTTGTACCACTGCCTATCCCTGGCCTGCAAAAGAAGGTATCTTCAGATGAACTGCAGGGGTTTTTAAAGCAAAACCACAGCTGGGACACACTGAAGGACACAATTCAGCAATGCAAATCACTGAGTGGATTTTCACCTTCAGGAAGCAATAAGACACTCAAAAATTATCTTTAGAGTCATTAGGAAATGCCCTGAGAAAACTGTGTCACCAATCACAGACTGAAGGTGTAGAAACAGATCACCTTTGTTCACCAAAAGCAGGCATTGCCATTTTGGCCTGTCAGGGGCAGAAAAGTGTTCTGGGCCAGCCCAGTTCTGTATGAGCCAAGTCAGGGCTGATCTTCACACTGGAGCCTTCTCTTGCCACAAGGGCAAGGCCCAGCTACAGCACTGCTTGTACTCAAACAGCTGCACTCAGCCATTGTGTGCATACATAACAATTTCCAAAACAGGATTCTCGTCCAGGAAAGGTCTCTTTCCAAGCAGAAAAGTTGCAGTGCACTTGTTCACATATCTTGCTCATTCTTCTGCCAGAGAAAGCATGACTTCTGCTCAAGCACAGTCAGGACGTTGAAGGATGTCCTGTAAACCTCCCAAACACAGTGTTCAGCTGATCAAACCTTGGAAACAAGCACAGACCTAACTTTTGCAATCATGGACTTAGCGGAGAAGACCCTGAAGATCGAGACCGATTGTTCCCCCACCACTGCCAAGGCCACCATTAAACCACGTCCCCAAGTGGCACATCTACACGGCTTTTAAACCCTTTAAACTCTTTTAAATCCACCACTACTCCGGACAATCTGTGCTGGGGCTGGATGAGCCTTTCCACAGAGATTTTTACTGATGTCCAGCCTGAACCTCCCCTGCAACAACCTGAGGCCAGTCCCTCTTGTCCTGTGCTTTGTTCCCTTGGAGCAGAACCTGACTCTCACATTGACTGCATCCTCGTGCCAGGGAGTTGTGGAGAGCAAGAAGAGCCCCTCAAGCCTTCTCTTCTCCAGGCTGAGTCCTCCCAGCTCCCTCAGCTGCTCCTTGTCCTCCAGACCCTTCCCCAGTTCCATTCTCTTCTCTGGACATGCTCCAGCCCCGCATTTCCTTCTTGTAGTGAAGCACCCAGAACTGACCCCAGAGCTGGAGCTGCCTCAGCCCAGGTGTGTGGTCACTGCCCTGGTTCCACTGGCCACACTGCAGCTGGTACAGCCCACGTCCCATTGGCCTCCTTGCCTATCCGGGCAGGGAAATGTGTCAGCCGGTGTGTGCCCAGGGCGGCAGCGAGATGAAAGGGCAGGCCTTCCCTCCGGGCCGGGCTTCCCTGAGGGCCGGGCCGGGCTTCCCTGAGGGCCGGGCCGGGCTTCCCTGAGGGCCGGGCCGCGCT